TCCTCTCTGGCCAATGTAGTAATAAACTTATTTGATGAATTGAATCTACATATTGCATTTCCAAGATTTATTCTGTATTCTTTCCTCCTTTTAAAAGCATCAATCTTTTATCTCATCATCTGTTTAGCAAAAACATTGTAACTCCACAATGTTTTTTCCATTACAAAATAGTTTCTCTTTTAAGATTAAAACAACAAACCATGGCTCTGACTGGCTAAAGGATGTAAGTTAGGCATTTTCTGAATCACAGTGCACTCAACATCATACTTCAGACTATGGTGGGAGGTAGAATATAACAGAAAGAAGAAAAAGGAGAAAACAAGAACACATACTCTGCTTCAGTAATTATGAACACAGAAACACATAACAGATAACATTTAAACACTCATGAATACAATAATGACTATAAATTTAATGAAATGCAAAATAGTCAAGTCTTAAGAATGGGATCCAGTTACTTGAAAGAAGTTCCTTGAAGGAAGCACAGAACATATAATATCTGAAGAACCAAGTAAATAATTTAACTGACCAGTCTACTGTTCTAAGTAGCCCAGAAGTTTTTAAACTTTCACTTCATAATCATTCTCATTATATTTCTAGCTACCTTTCCTAAAAATATTTTATAGTTTGTGTTATTGTTCAGTAACCCCATGAAAGCTTTAGAAAATAAAATACATGTTAACTCAAAATTTACTAGATTTTCCAGCAAATACTTCTTCCTGTTTGACATCTTCAAAACCTCCTCACAATGTTCCAATGATTACAGTGCTACATTTAAAATATTCCTGAAGGGCGCCTGGGTGGCTCAGTTTAGGTTAAGCCACTGCCTTTGGCTCAGGTCATGATCCTGGAGTCCTGGGATCAAGACCCATATTGGGCTTCCCCTGCTCTGCAGGGAGCCTGCTTCTCCCTGTCTCTCTCCCGCTGCTTGTGTTCTCTCTCTGTCAAATAAATAAATAAAATCTTTAAATAAAATAAAATAAAATAAAATAAAATAAAATATTCCTGAAAGCAGAAACCCACCACTAGGCTTCCTCTGGATATGTGTGAATGAATAAAATCTAAAATCAGTATGTACAATTTGCCAAATTTCTGTATCTACCAAGTATACCAATTATGATCTCTTCTCCCTGTTTCAAAGTTTAGAAATGTGGAAAATGTCAAGCTTTTGGTAGAGTTGCGCAGAAACAGAATAAAATGATAGTCTAGAAAGCTGGAATTAACAGATTTGAAAACTTCAATTGAATGTCACCCATTACTATGATATACAGTTATCTCCATACCTATACTCAAAGATGGTGGTTGACAGAAAATGTAAAAAAGGTAGCCAGTCCTACCATCAACAATCTGACAGGTTGGTGGCATAAGGAGGAACGCACCAATTGTCAGGTGAGAGAGAGTCTGTAAACACAGAAGCCTTGAGTTCCCGATATGTGTAAAAGCGATGCAAGCTAAGTCTACAGGGCAAAGAAAATGACAGACTTAAGAGGATGTGTTTCAGAAAATACTGAAGTCTAGACAACCAAGCTCACAACATGTGTGAAACTGTTCTCACAGTTCTAGAGACTACAAGTCCAGATCACTGTGTCAGCGTGGTGGGGTGTTCGTAAGGGCCCTCTTCCTGGTTTGCAGATGGCTGCCTTCCAGCTGTGTCCTCCTATAAAAGAGAGAGAGCTCTCTGATCTCTTCATCCCTTCAGAAGGGTGCCAATTTCATCATGCGGGCTTCACTCTCATGATCTTATCTAAATACAATTACCTCCCAAAGGCTATCACAATGAGAAATTAAAGCTTCAACATAGGAATTTTGGGAGGACACAAACATTCAGTCCAAAGTCTCCACTACGTATCAAAATAACTTTATAGGAAAAAAAGGGATAAATCCACAAAGAAAAATAAAGAAAGATTTCTGACATTATTTATTTATTTATTTATTTATGATTGTATTTATTTATTTGAGAGAGAGAATGCATACACACAAGTGGGAGGAAGGGCAGAGAGAGGGGGAGAGAGACAAGCAGACTCCCACTGAGCTGGGAACCAAGGCTGGGCTCCATCCCAGAACCATGAGATCATAACCTGAGTTGAGGTCAGACGCTTAACCAACAGCTACCCAGGCACCTCTCGATAAGATTTAAAAGTGGAATGTGGTAACTGAGTTAGCAGGCTGGAGAAAGCTGAAAATTAAACATCTACAAGAAGAAAGAAATCAAGCCAATCTGTATGCAATGATGGAAAAAGAAAAGCAGGGGAACTAGAGGCATCAGGTGGCCATAAATGTAAAGGCAACAGTATAGCTGAAAAGAGAATCGATCAAGAGTCATTAAAAGATGCAATTAAACCTCAGTAATCCCAAGCACTGGTGACTACTCACCTACCACTCTACCACTGTGCAATATTAAAGGCCCTACCTTTACCTCTCAGAGAGATTGTATCAGGCAGGTTTAAGAAGTAGGGACAATCCTACACCGCAGTGGGTGTGGGGAAAGGAAAAAAACAAACAAACAAACAAAAAAAACAAACCAGATATGGAAGTATTCATATAAGGAAGTATTCATTTCTTTCCCCTACTTGACTCCCAGAAAGCCAGCACCCACACTTGTTCCTTCTCTCCCCTTCCACCTGTATGAAGAAACTTCTATGAGAAAATTAAGTAGTCCAAGAAAAAAGGCATATAGTAATGGTATTTCAGGATTTTACACCCAGGGCACTTAATCAGTATGATAGCTCTAAACCATGAAGATAAACAAAAATACCTTTCAAATCTGGTAGGTATGTATCACCAAAATAAGAGAGTAACCAAGAGAATTAAGAAACATTTGAGATCCAGGAAAAGCAGCAGCAAAGGGATTCCCAGGAAAACAACAAGGAAAATGGCAGAAGCAGAGTTACGGAGAAGATGCAAAAGTCTACATTAGAAAAGTATGACAGCATGCTTTAGAAGAGATTTCTCTGATGGAGGCAAGAGTAGAATGAAAAGACTATCTAAAAGGTTAAATTCAGTGGACAGAATGAATATAAGAAGACTTAGAAATTCAGAGTCAACCAAATTTTTTTTTTTAAAGATTTTATTTGACAGAGAGAGAGATCACAAGTAGAGAGAGAGAGAGAGAGAGAGAGAGAGAGGAGGAGGCAGGCTCCCTGCCTAGCAGAGAGCCCGATGTGGGACTTGATCCCAGAACCCTGAGATCAGGACCTGAGCTGAAGGCAGAGGCTTAACCCACTGAGCCACCCAGGCAGCCCCAAGAGTCAACCAAATTTTTAATGAACTTTTATCATTAATGTACAGTAAACTTTATCCATTTTAATCACTGCCACAATCAAGATGGAAATGTTTTCATTTACATGACTTCTTCTAAAGATTCTTCATCTTTTCTATGTAACATCCCTCAGACAACATCTTCCAGAAACCACAGATCTGCTTTCATCTGCTACTTATTAGTTTGCATTTTTAAATAAATTTATGTATGTGAAATCAGTATGTACTATTTTGTGCCTCAGTGGTTTTACTCAGCCTAACTATATATATAACTACATATACATATGTATATATGTGTATATATATTCATTTTGTTATGTCTTAACAGTAATACTTTTTATTGCTGAGTAGAATTCAATAAAAATAACATATTTTGCTTATTCACCTGTCAATGAAAATTTTTTCCAATTTTTTATCTTAGAAATATTTGTTGTAAAAATTCGTGTCTTTATATGAATATATATTTTCACTTCTGACCTGGGAGTGGAATGCCTAACTCATAAAGTCGGTATACATTTCAGGAATTGCCAAAAATAGTTGTATAGCAGTCTATTGAAATCCAATTACTCCACATCCTTGTTTAGGCTTACTTTTGGACTCTATTCTGTTCAACCGATCTAAATGTCTATTCTTGGGGCACCTGGCTGGCTTGGTCAGTAGAGCATGCCACTCTTGATCTGTGGGGTTGTACGTTCAAGTCCCACAGTGGGCATAGAGATTACATAAAAATAAAGCTTTTAAAAAGAATGTCTATTCTTACTCCAAAAATGCTAAGTTATTGCTGCCTAATAGTCTTGAAATCATGTACTGTTATATCCTCAAACTTTACTACCCTTTAAAAAATTGCTTTGGCTAATCTAGGTAGTTTTGCATTTACATATATATTTCCAGACACATTTAGTACCAGGTTGTATTAACTCCGTAGGTTTTCTACAGGTTAATATGGGACGGTGTGATCCCTTAACGATATTGACCTTTTCAATCCATGGACATTTCTTCAGTTATTCATGTCTTCTTTACCTCTGCAATCTCATTTAGTTTCTATTATACAGGTATAATGCACAATGACAGACTGATTCCTAAGTACTGTGTTTTTTATGTTACTGACCATGGAATTTTTTTAAATTTCACAGTTTATAGGATATAATACATCTTATAATTGTATATTAACCTTATATTCCATGATTGTGCAAAATTCACTTAGTAGTTTTACCAGCTGTTTAAATAATCCACCTAAGGAATCTGTAAAACATTGATGCCATCTGCAAATAGTTTTCCTTCTGCCTTTCTGATCTTTATGCCTTTTTATATCTTTTTTTTTTCTTGCCATACTGAAATGACTAGGATGTTCAAAACAAGGTTAATGCTGAAGTGGTAAGGAGAGACATCCTTGTCCTGACATGAATCTTAGGAGATAAGCATAGAATATTTCATCATTAAGTATGAGGTTAAAATATGTGTTTTTATAGATGCCCTCCATTAGGCTGATTTTCCTTTCTACTTCTAGCTCCCTACAATTTTTTTTTCAATTTAAATAAATGTTCAATTTTGTCAAAAGCTTTTTTTTTTGGCTCTGCACCTACTGAAATTTGTTATATATTTTTGTCTTTAGTTTGTGAAAATGGCAAATTACAATGACTGATTTAAAAGATTAAATTAACCTTGAATTCCTGAGATACAGTCCATTTGGTCATGACATATTAATCCTTTTTCTTTCTTTTTTCTTTTTTTTTTTTGTCCTGAGGATGCGCACCATTCCTGGAGATAGTACAATACAAGGTTGATGCGTGACGTGGATATGGAGAAAGCTCCTTTCCATCTCTCTGTTCCAAAAATCCATTTACTATATTGTACTCGAATAGAGAATGTATCAGGTATTAAAATGATAACAACAGATACTAACATTATCTTAGCCAAAAAGCTGAGAAGTGATACATAAACCTTTTTATATACTATTGATTTGCTAGTATTTTGTAAAGGAATATGGTATTTATGTCCACCATAGAGCTGTAATTTTCTTCTGATATCTTTATTAGGTTTAGGATTCATAGTTATGCTAGCAACATAACAAGTGTCGGAAAGATTTTGCATGATATTGGGACTATTTCTTTGAATGCATTAAAGAACACACCAGTGAAGTCATGTGGGCATGCTTTCTTGGTGGAGGAGGTTATTAGCAATTTCAGTTTTTTAGACCTTGCTTATGCAAATTTTCTGTACCTTAAAAGCATTAAAAGAGAAAAAATAAACCTATAATTACCAATATATATTAACTTTTTTTGATACTCTTCATTAGTTCCTAAAGATCTCAGTTTGCCTCTCGGGATACTACTCTTCAGCCTGAAAAAGTCCCGTTAGTATTTCTTGTAGTACAGGTCTGCCCACAGGTTCTTAGTTTTCCTTTATCTAAAAATATCTTTTATTTCACTTCATTGTTTGAAGAATATTTTCACTGAATACAGAACTTTGGAATGATAATTTTTTTCCTTCATTCCATGACCTGAGAAGTGTATGGTAGTTTCAATCTCCCCATTTGTGTGTCATTTTCTCTAGCTATGTTCAAGATTTTTTTATCTTAAGTTTTCAGCAGTTTGACTATGTGTTAAGTTTCTATTTATCCTGTTGTTTGTTGAGCTTCTTGAATCTATAAATTTATACTCCTCACCAAATTTCGAAAGTTTACTATAATTTCCTCAAAAATTTTTTTCACATTCTTTTCTTTCCTCTCAGGACTCCTAAAAACTCATTTAATTCTGCTCATTTAAAACAAAAACAAGGGTGCCTGGGTGGCTCAGTGGGTTAAAGCCTCTGCCTTTGGCTCAGGTCATGATCCCAGGGTCCTGGGATCGAGGCCAGCATCAGGCTCTCTGCTCGGCAGAAAGCCTGCTTCCACTTCTCTCTCTGCCTGCCTCTCTGTCTACTTGTGATCTCCGTCTGCCAAATAAATAAACAAAATCTTTGAAAGTAAATAAATAAATAAAAAACAAAACAAAACAAAATTGGTTTAAGAATGACTTCTTTCGGGGAGCCTGGGTGGCTCAGTGGGTTGAGGCCTCTGCCTTTGGCTCGGGTCATGATCCCAGGGTCCTGGGATCAAGCCCTGCGTAGGGCTCTCTGCTCAGCGGCAAGCCTGCTTCCCTTCCTCTCTCTCTGCCTGCCTCTCTGCCTACTTGTGGTCTCTGTCTGTCAAATAAATAATAAATAAAATCTTAAAAAAAAAATAAGAATGACTTCTTTTGATCTATATTTAAGATCCTGATTATTTTCTGTCATCTTTATCTACTACAAATCCCAGAGAATGAAGTTTTATTTCAGATATCATTCTTTGCAGCTCTCAAATTCCCACTGGTTCTTTTTATATATTTTCTTTTTCTTTGCTGAAATGGCCTCCCTTTTCATTCATTACAAGACTATTTTCTTTTAACTCACATAATTATAAAAGCTTCTTTAAAATCATTGTCAGATAATTCTAACATCTTGATCTTGAATTTTGCATTTTATTGTTTGTGTCTTTTCCCTTGAGAATGGGTTGTTATTTCCTGGTTCTTTGTATGTTGAGTAATTCTGAGTTGACCCTGAACATTGTGAATGTTAGGCTGTGAACTCTGGATTCTGTTATATTGTTCTGAAAAATACTGTTTTTATTTCAGCAGGCAATTAACATGTTCAGACCCAAACTGCTACTTCTGTCATGTGTCTAACGCACAGCAGCTAGGACCTCAGTTCAGAGTACTTCCACTCTGGCCTGCAACACACACAAATGAGGGGTCAGGGACAAGCTTGGGCAGAGTTTTATATTCAGAATCTGGGGTTCCCTTTCTCTAGCTCCTTTTTTCTGGATTATCTCCTCACCATTTGCATTCCTTCTTCTGGTACCTACAGTTTAAAAAAAAAAGAAAAAAAAAAGGCAGCTGTACTTTAAAGGAGTTTTTGCTCCCCCACATCTCTGCCACAGTAGCAGCACAATCTGAAATTTCGGATCAAATTTCAGACTACTTTCCATCTGCCTCACACATAGATGGTTCAGAAGTCAACCAGAGATTTGGGTAGAGTTTTTACATAATTTTGAGTTCCCCTTCTTTGGCTTCTCTTTTGTGGATTACCTCCTCATTTCCTATCAGCTTGTATCAGAACCCTTTTCATGTTCTATCGGTCAGAAACATGCCTGTCTGGTTTTTCTGTTAAAGTTCTAGCTACCCAGTACCACCACAATGGAAATTTCATCCTTATTCTACTCATTACTAAATATCCTGTCCAGAGATCATGGAAGTCAAAGACTTAAAATGATTGAAGCCAAACGTCTTTTTTTAAAAAATAAACACAAAATATTAAAATTTCTTTGTTCAACCAATTCAATTAGTTAATCAAGTAATTAAATAAACTATCAGATCTGAATAAAATACATTAAACAGCGCTCTAAATTACAAGAAAAACTGATTCTTGCTCACTGGGGTTTATTTTGAAGGTATCAGGCAGCACATATTGCTAAGAAATATAAATAAATGAGATAAAAAAATGGAAAGGAGCCAGGGGAGACTAAGTAAGAGAACTCTGAGACTACACAAGTGTCATTGTAAGGACAGAGCCTTTTCCTCTTCTGAACCTTGGAAGCCACTACTGGACCTGCTGCTACTAGAAACTAGATGCTGCAGTTGCCAGTATTATCTTGAGAAAAATTCCCTGTCTGCTTTTATGATCCTGCTTCACAATTAAGGTAAGGCTGGGGTTGACAAGGGGCACTAGACGTAGGGGAGAGTAGCAGGACAGCAGTCTGATTATCTAGGCCTAATTCATATGCCCATAGACTGATTATAAATGGAGTTAATGGGCTGGAGGGATGCTGGGGTGAGAGGAGAAAATGAGAACTTGGCTTTTGCAGATTCATTTGGAAGACCTCTACTCAGACCCATAATAAGGAACTCTTTAAAAGCTCATTTGATAATGAGCATGCCACTTATCACATTGTCTCTCTTAAATCCAAGCTTTTATACTATTTTATGCTATTGCGACTGAGAGTGGGATGCTACAAACTGCATTTTCCTCTATTAGCCTCCTCTGTTAGGTTCTGTAAATAGGGACAACATACTAGAAGGGGACTGGAAGTCAGGAGGAAGGGAGAAAAAAAACTTGTGTTTTTGATCCCTTACTGTTTCCATCAACATCTCTCCAGCAAAGGTCCTTCATCCTGGCAGGGGCAATCAGTTCCAGTCCCTAGCCTCTTTCAGAACTCCTTGAACCAGAATCACCTCACCACCTCTGATGTACCAGCATCAACTGTGCAAGGGCCACTTATTAGACATGTGAAGTAGAGCTCTACAACATTCCCTTCAAACTACTGAGATATTAGTACCAACTATACTAGGTATAATTTTCTTTCTAGATATCTGAGACTCAGTTGCATAGTGCATTTCTCTAAGCTTCTGAGATAGCTGAAGCTTAAGAGAGCCCCTCTCCAGCTGTCTGAGCCTCAGCTTTGTGAAGTGCTCACTAATGAGGCAATCCTTTCAACTCAGAGCTTTAAACCTCAATCCCAAAAGGCTCCTGTGATACTGCTACCAGCACCGGTGGGCAACCCATTGCTCTTCAGAGATCCAACTCCCAACTCTGAAGGGCTCTCTCCAACTTATAGGTTCTCATACCCCAACTTTATCCCTTCGTTCCTCCAGCCCTAGGATTTGTAAAAGCTCATCTCTGCAGTTAAAAACTATACACTACACACAATGTTTTTCTTTTGTTCTTTGAGTTCTGAACACTTTATGCTGAAATACGTGCAGTGGTTTCTGGTTCCATGAGTGGACCTCCGGATGATGGAATAAGCAGTCCAAAAACAGCAAATGTTCATTTCATAACAGAGTATTAGACATCCATTCAAAAACAGTATTTCCAAAGGTTGGAAATTTGACATCTTAATATGTGGAAGAAAATAAAGAGGTTACAAAAGCACATGTACAATGTGATCCTAATTATGCCTGTTGCCTTAAGAGCACTTTAGTATGTATCTATACAACCACATGAGATCAAAGACTGAACAACAGAGGCCCTGTTTGGCACACCAGTATAATTCAGGCCCTAGGACAGTGACTTGCACTGAAAAAACATTTATTTATCGAATGTGGAGACTGAAATTCAGAAAACTACCGTCCACACAAAAACATGCACACCAGTGTTCGTAACAGCTTTATTTGTAACAGACCCCAAACGGAGGCAACCCAAATGTTCTTCAACAGGTGAATGGTACACAAACTGTGATACATATACTACTGACCAATAAAAAGGAACACATTATCAATATACTCAATAGCTTAGGGGATCTTAAGGAAATCATGCTGAGGAAAAAAGCCAATCTCAAAAAGTAACACTGAATGATTCCATTTACATAAAATTTTCAAAATGAAAAAATTATAGAAATGATAAAAAGATTAGTGGTTGCAGGGGTTAAGGATGAGATAGTAGGCTGGAGGGAAAGAAGAGAGATAGCAGTGGCTATAAAGGGGTAGAATGAGGGTTCTTTGCGCTGATGAAACAGTTTTATATTTTATTGTAATGGTGGTTACAAGTTATAAAATTGCATAAAACTACACACACATGCATGCACATGTACACACACACAAATTAGTGTATATAAAACTGGTAAAATGTGAGTAAGGTCTGTGGGTTGTCCCAATATCACCTTCCAGGTTTTGAATTGTACTACAGCTATGTAAGATTTTACCATGCACGGAAACTGAAGGATGAACAAAACCACTGCACTCTATTTTTGCAAATTTCTGTGAAGGTACAGTTATTTCAAAATTAAAAGTTTTATTTTAAATAAAAAGATATTCAACAAAATGTTCTAAGTGGACTATACATGATAATCATCACTTGTGCAGGCTGATGACAGAGGCATTAAAGGAAGCTAACTGGTTATATTCAGAATCTAACATAGATGGT